GAAATATTTACATAAACATTTATAGATTTATATTCTTATATTTTATATTATATATAAATATATTTAATATATAAACATTTTTCTCAAATATATACATACATGTGTTTGTACTTATATATACATAATATATTATGTAAAACGATTAATCGTTTGATAGCATATATATATATATATATATATATATATATATGTATGTATATCATCATTTTTTTTCTCACAGTATCATGCATCTGTCTTGCATGTTTTCACAGAAGATAGATCATGTCACATTAGTGTTTCATGTTTGTATTCAGTTAAACATTTCTCTCTACACAGCTACATCACACAGCAATGCTTGCCATCACTCATATTACTCACTGAACACGACTTGTTGCTGGGCTTTTTCTATCTTTGGGAAAGACAGGTTTTTTTTTTGTCCTCGAAGAATGCATCATTTACAGCTGTGCTTTCCAGTGTAAATCAGAAGTACTGTATATGTGGTTGAATCTGTGATTTCTAACAAGGTCTCACACTGTGATAACAATACTCTGTGTGTGTGGACCTTGTTAATAACTGCTGTGAGCCATCTGCAAAACCCCCCCCGAAATAAATAAACTGCAGCTTCCATTAGTCCAAAACCCAGAATACAGTGTATGAGCTCCTAGTTTAGACTAAAACAGGGTTTCATTCTGACAAACATCTTCAAAGGTGTGCGGTTACTTTCAGCTGTGACCCACAAAGAACACCGCTCGCCTGTGAAATGAGCCTGTCAGTAAACCGTTTGGAAATCAGGGGGTCTTTACACTTGCTCACTTCATTCGTTTTTTACTGATCGGGTAGCTATCAGATCCTGAAAAGACTGAGTGAAAATGCCCTCCAAGACTCATTGGAGACGTATGACTTCCAATCACTCAGGAGGTGGTTTGAGACACATACTTAGCCAGAAAGCATTTGATTTTCTTTATAATCTTGCAGCATGGGAATTCTATATTAGGAAAATAGATGAGATTTATATCAGTTTTGTAAAGACCAGTTTTATGTGGCTAAGTATAAATGCAATATGTATACCAGTCAATCGATCAAGACATATGAACGGAGTTCTAGAATATTACTGCCTGATTTACACTTCCATTAAAACACATTTTGATGCTTTTGAAAAAAGTTGCTCTTTCTCACCAAGACTGCCGTTATTTAATAAAAAATACAACAAAAAGAGTGAAATATTATTACAATTTAATATAATGGTTTTCTGTTTGAATATATTTAAATATGGAATTTATTTTTGTGATGCAAAGCTGAATTTTCAGGAATCTACTCTCATTTGTTATTATTGCCATAGCCTTTAATTAATTGTTAACTGGCATCAGTTTATTAATTATAATTAAATTATTTAATTTTCCTATTGTTAACGTTATATTTTCTGTCCACAATATTTACAGAATGTATTTGAAATCTAAATATTTTGTGACATTATAAATATCTTTACTCTGTCTTTTTTTAAATGTAATGCATCTTTTCTGGATAAAATATTTGAAAATCAGATAGAAAGACCATGTACTTATTGGCTTTAGTGAGGAGAAAAAACTACAAAAAGCACTGCGAATGACATAATTAAATTAAAAACGATAAACAAATATAAAACTATTCATTTAAAGTTGTATCTACAGAAACAATATATCAGCATACAAATATGAAATAATCCACACAGTTATTAATGAATGACACCCAATGTCTGTCAAATAATAGCCTCTGTGTTTTTAATTCAAATTGAACCTTTTCAACTTTATTGGTTCTTCACGTGGTGTTTTATTAAAAAACAATCTGAAAATATTTCAGGAATACTTTCTGCCAATAGTCCTTGAGGGTTTTTCCAATCTCAGATAACATTTAGAATAAATAAGCTTTCAAAATGAGTAGTTGAGGACATGCCTTGCAAGGTCGTATGATTGTAGACGGCAAAATGACTTTCTTGACGTGACTGTTGTAAATCCACTTCACTAACAGGGTCCTCAGTGAAAGTGTTTAGTTGCTCACAGTCCTCCTCCAGCGCCAGCAGAGCCCTTCAATGCCATTTGGATTCATCTGATGTCTATTAAAATATAATAGAAAGTTCAAATCTAATAGAAAGTGAATAAATAATTTGCGCTGCATAGTCTTCTCTCCCTCGGTGGCTATATTTCTCTCATAATCAGATCAGGCACTGCGAGTCTGCATTGTGTGGAAGAAGTGCGTCAAGAGATTCCGAACATTTAAAGGGGTCATATGATGTTGCTAAAAATAACATTATTTTGTGTATTTGGTGTAATGAAATGTGTTTATGTGGTTTAAGGTTAAAAAAACACATTATTTTCCACATACTGTACATTATTGTTTCTCCTCTATGCCCCGCCTTTCTGAAACGCGTCGATTTTTACAAAGCTC